ACCATAGCGATCAGAGTGTTGCGGCCAGATTAGACGCTCCTTGTGTTTATTATTATATTTCGAAAACACCACAGTTTTCATGCAGCTCATACCATATTATTTTGTTGTATTATTTCCGCCACACTTTAAATGCCGGTCCCTGAAAATATTGTCTGACATAAACCGGTCCGTGCGGCAAAAAAGGTTGGGGGCCCCTGACATAGTGTACGTGTCACTTCTGTGGATCTTCTACTGCATCACTGCTTATCGTTACTGGTGCAATGGATGACTTGACACAAGATGTACAACCCGGGCTGGTTTCCAGCCAATTGCTGGACATGTCAAGAAGAGACAAAAAGACCTGAGGACAACTGGGCGGCGTCAATCAAAGCACCACGCAGGTTTTGGAACGTGGGCGTAAAACGGAGCACTCAGAGAGAAAATCCGGATTCAAACGCCAAAGTTCAGCACTGATGGCCAAATAGAGCTGACCACTTGCAGTCACCGTGCCGCACAAATGCAATTACCTAGTGACTGAGATATATACACATTTTGTACATCTGACATCACATCACAGTTCCCATTGCAGACATCAACTCACTATATATATTTTTTTTTTTTTTTTTTAATATCCCTACGTTTAAAGCTATCATATGTAGCTGGCTGGAATTCTGCATTACAGCAACACAACAGAGCTGTCGCTTCGCAATGACCGAGGCAATTCATATTATGACCCTTGTGTGTGATTCTACATTTTTATTATGTTTTGACAGACAGCCAGTGGGGGAAAAAGATTCTTCGGGGTAAAATGCAGACTCTATTATTGCTGTGTTTGTTCATGTATTTGACATCAGGCATCTTATTGGGCAGCTCAGGACTCAGCAAGACGTCCATTTGTTTGCTGCAATCAATGTTTTTTTCCCCCCAATTATTGTTTTTATTGACACAATAATGACCGTAGGATTATTTTCTGCCACAGACATACCAAATATAGTTGGTGAAGATTATTACAAACGTGAAACAAGAGGACGCACTGCCATTGTCATTTTCGAGGCACCATCATGCTGTGACTGTCGCCGATGGACACGATATATAAAAGACTAAACACTGAAAAATGCAGCGAGACGTTTGAGGAGCTGATTGGCTTAATCAGCAATGTGTCATCTTCTTGAGTAGTGGCCTGAGTGAAAATAAATTTTTCGAAAGGTAACAAAAACGTTCGGCACGCGAGCTTTAAGGGGTAGTTTGATGACACAAATCACGAGTGATACATGTCACTTGATTAGTGGTACATTAGACATCATCATAGCGGTCATAGTTAATTTTGTAGCTCCTCAATTAAGCCATCAGGAAAGTGAACGCCAACTTCACATTTAAGAAAGACTACCGGTACTTGGTGGCAGTGAATTTCAATATCAACAGCATTCCGCCTCTTAAGTCAGTCTCAGTTCCAGTACCAACCTGATTGAAATAAACGTGGCAAGCATGCATGGCTCAAACGAGCTCTTTTTAAAGGCCGTCTTCGTAAAGCCGCACTTTCACGCTCGAGACTTGCACTGTTGTGTTTCGTTTGTGACGTCACTTACGATGAGTGGAGTCAAATTCATTTGGAACAGAGCTGCTTTTCCCATTTGAAAGGAAGGACCTTGTCATTCCACTTTGACTCAATGCCATGTTTAGCTTCGATGTGACTTCCCAAAGAAGCCCCACGGGAACCAGCGTCTGCGCCGTAGACTGGAACTATGAATGTCCCAATCACAGATGGCTCAGATGAACGCACCTTGTCATTACCCATATCATATTTATCCCGCTTGTCTCAAAATACACATCCAAAAAAAAAAACTATGCAATCTTGGCATTTTAGGATTTCATTTCAGTTGTTGAGTGGTAGGGCGGCACCCTTGCAAGAGCCCTCTCATGGCCAGAATAACTCATTCAACTCCAATCTGAGGAAATCAACTTTTACAGTGAGAATCTACGTGAAAGAGGCAAAAATAAAAAAGCAGCAGCAATAATGCCTCTGCCATCGTTTTGTACATGACGTGCTGACTCTCATCTTGGTGTTTCCGGCCCTCCCTCGCTTGCAAAGGAACCCGAGCCGACAAATCAGCGTGCAATGTCCTTGTCCATGAGCGTGAAGTCATCCTGATCTCAAGCCTTCCAAGCACACGTCTCACTTGGGGTCAGACTGAAAAGGCAGATGCACGCGTTCATCTTCCTCATAAAAAAAAAAAACAAACTTCAAAGGAAGATACGGCAAACTTGATTACCATGTCAATAGCTTTGTGGCAATAGACAAGGAAAACATGACATGGAAAAAAAAAACCAACTTTGAAAGTTAGCATGGAGCTGCATCTTCACTGGAAGCCTT